TGAAAGGAAAAGGGTTAAATTAAAAACACTTCGTCTCCAAATGCTGAGGTGCTGGGGACCTGGATGTCTATGTGTGAAATCCAGGGAGGGGCACAGTGCAGTGAAGAGTTAAGTGAATCTCAGGTATCTAGAGCAGTCGCTCGCCAGTCTGGAACTCTCACCTTGGCTACGTCACACAGTGCACATGGCACTTCCTCCTTGGCAATGGACGTGGAAGCTACAGCAAATGGAAGGTGTATGACAGGCTGGGGAGCAAAAGGCACAGAGGAACTCCTCTCTCTTTTTCCACTACCCAATGGGAAAAGCCACTCTGTTACAAGCACTGCAGGAACCAAGCCAATTAATACTACCTCAACAGCAGTTTATAGGAAGTTGTATTTTGGAGCAGTTTTCACATTGGTAAGTCTGGGTAGCCCTGGAATATGGCTACTTAATGCCAATCCAGAAGGTTCTGCCCTGACGCCACAGCATTAGAGATGATGAGTAGGTCCTTTGGGGTCTGTGTGCCCAAGAAAAGAATCACATGAACACAGCTCCCCATCCAAGCTAATTCACTAAACAGTAGAGAATAACTCTCTCGTTTCTATAAATTAAAGGGGTCTGTTTGGTATCTTAGCTAACTGAATCTTTCAAAAAGTATTTCACACGAGCCAGAAGTTACTGAACTTGTTTGGGGCCCGCTGATATAGTAGATGTAGAACAAGACAAGACTCACCTAAGTTGGCCCTTTCAAAGACAAGGAAACTGAAGCTGACTAAGGCTATGTTAAAATTCGGCCCGACTCACACAGCTAGCAAGTGATGGAGTCTGGCCTCAAAGGTGAGTTTGCCTAACCTCACATCTTCCTAGCCAATGAGGTATCAGTTAACTAATCTCAAATAGTGCTGAGCTTCATAATATATTAAATATGCTAGACAACTTAAAGAAGTTATAATTTTTAATAGCTCTTGATGGAGCATACAGCATTGAAGTTAACATCTATATAGAATTTAAGCCGCCTCAATTTTTTAAAAATATTAATATAGATAAGAGAAGATGTTTAGCACAGAATCAACGAAAAAAACCTACCAAGTCTTTTCTTTTTTTTTTTTTTTTACAACAAAGACACTGGCCTTACAGTGCCATCTGCTGTTAGAAAGTGGCAACTACATTAGCCCTCCCTGGCAGGGTTTTTCAAGGTTTTTTGCGGGGGGGGGGAGGCCGGGGGGGGGGGGGGGGGGGGGGGGTGGGGGGGGGGGACGGTAGGTGCTGTTTTATGAAAGACTCTAACTTATGCTATACTATACTATAGCTCATGTAAAACATGGGTATGGACTAAGAGGGAAATGGTCATTAGAGAACTAAAGTAAAATAACATTGTAGAGGAAAAAGCAGAGTAGAGAAATGAACTGCAGTTGCTGTGGTCAGAAGCTGCCTAGAACCTTCCAGATAATAAGATGTTATGCGTATTTTATCCCTATTCTGTTGACCTTACCAGAGAGTCCTATTGTTTTCTCTTCTTTTTTTTTTTTCCTTCAAAGAACAAGTGTTAGCTTAATTGATATCTCTTCCACTTTATTCTCTTTTGCTTGTAATTTACTTGCTTTGGGCATTTAGTTCTCATACAAATACCACGTTTGTTTGGTTTTTGGTGTTTTTTTTTTTTAATCATAGGTTTTCAGAGCTGGGGAAAATTAAGAACCTGGATTTCCTATCTCTTTTAGAAAGAAGACCATAGAAGAAGGAACCTGACCTCATGCCCTTCTCCCTAGGTTTTCACGTTCATGACAATTAGTTATTCTTTCTCTGTGCATAGCAACACTTTCTGTGCCTCCTTCTTTCACAGTTTTCTTTTTTAATTCACTTCACAAAGAACAGAAAAGGTTGTTGGATTGCAAACTCCCAGATAATTTAGCAAATTTCTCCCGAGAAGATCTCCATCTAAGAGTTTTTAAATCAGAGCCAAGCCCTAGGGTTGGTGAGTGGTTTTCCTGACTTTGCAATGTTACACCTCTCCTCCAAATGGACAGGTTAACTGTTGGAAAAGAAGAAAAAGGCATAGGTAATCTGATAGTTAACCTTGCCCCCATGAGAAAAGGGAAAGGTGCCTGGGACTAGGAAAGCACTCCTCTGGGTTTATTTGAGGGTGCTTCCAGAAAGGGTTAATTATGATGTGAACACCCACTTTGAACAGCCACGGGATGGAGGCTCAGCTGGAAAAAGAGGAAGAGGGAGAAAGACCCTAATTCTTTCTGCTTTCTGACCATGATAGGGAACTCTTCTCCTCCCTAAACCCTCTAGCCGTGATGGATCAAAAACCCTAAAATGACGAGTGAAAATAAATCTTTCCTGATTTAAGTTGATGTTTGTGTGGGTGATCAAATGTTTGTGATCAAATGCAACAAAACTTAAATAAAATGTTTTTCTGGAAATGTCTGTATATATTAATTATTGCTGATATCTATACGAGATATTTGGTAAAAAGCAAAAGCAGATAGTACCCTTGTTTTTCAGTAATCATCACCAAATGCAAACGTAGTCTCACATTTCAGAGTAAGCAAATGAGCTCTGCCAACTATGACATTTATCCAACTGGACAATAAAAGCACTGGCCTGAGGTCAAGAAGAGGCTGATGTTTGACCTGCAGGTCTCAGTCCTGCCTTCTATGCCATTTCCCAATCCTGAAAAACCCTGCTCCAGCTTCTCCTCTCTCCAAGGCCTTTGATGCGAACAGGCTCTGGCAGCGGACATCCACAGCTAATGGTGGAGTTCTTAGTCACACACGTTCTCTTTCGGGGTCCTTTGCATCTTAAGTTTTCCTTCATCGACAGTTTATTTTTCTTTGTCTAGTGAAGAAACTGTAGATAGGATTAGTCTGTGGGGAAGACACAGTGAACCAGAGGCTTCCAAGTGTCCTGAAGCTGTTTCTCCACTCTAACGCCTCCATGTTTCATTAGAAAGGATGCTGAACACGTTCCTTCAGTAGCCTGTTTCAGTGTTACTAAGTATGCTGCCTATACTGAAACACATCTGCTATAGGACGTTTTCTCCGATGAGCGTCTCCAGGTAACACCACTCAGGACCAGCTCTTGGGAGCCACAAAGAATTGCTCTCACATTTAGAAAGAAGAACATGGTTTCTCAAGACTGGTGTGTGCCGGAAAAGGCTTGAGTAGGAGACATCTAAGAGACAGGAGCAAATACACGGTGAATGAAAGTAGGAACTTTCATCGGGTCATTCATACATCCACGGGCCGTTCAAACATATGAGACAAGAGACGTGATAATAACGCAAACACTGACGCCCCTCCAATCACTCACTTCAGCTGCATCTCTTCTACTGCTTAACCCACACCGTCACTAAATGCAGCCCAGAAGCATTCATGCTGATCGACATATTCTTCATGCCTAATAGAGCTCTCAGTTCTGGTCCCATCTTTTTTTTCCCCCCTGCTTTCTTGTTACTATGGTACTCTCTAAATATCAATACACATATCGTACATTGTTTAAACCTCTCTGTCCATCTGTTCTACTGATAATTTGTTTTGGATGCTGGGACTCAAGTGTGGTCTTTCTGTAGTTGTACTTGGAGGGATGCTGGGGAGGGTCAAATCAGGGTCCCCTGGAATTGTGCTCTAAGATACAAGCGTTCAGGAAAGTCCTGAGAGTTAGGAGTGGGAGGAAGATAATTAGCCTGGAAGGCATCCCACCCCACACACCCGGGATACATTCTCATTCCTTCTGCCCGCCCCAGCCCCTGGCGATTTTTAATATAATATTTGTATTGTTTCCGTTTTTACCGTACATGCAATGTATTTTGATGATGCTCACCCCCGACTCTTCCTCCTAACTACTCCCACAAGCCTCAGAGCACATCCCAGAAGCGTCAGGGGAAAGAGTGTAAGAGCCAGAGGTCAGGGAGGACCAGGGCAAAAATCATATCTTCTGAAATACGAGGGGCCACTGCGCTTCGGAACTGCGAGTAGTTGTGGTTACCTAATCAAAACCTGCAGGAGATCAAACCAGTCACCTTCGCCATGTGGGGTGAAGAAAGACAAGCCCTCACCCCTAGCAGAGGAGCTTGACAATTGATGACTTCGGGGCGCGAGACAGAGCAGATTGTCCTTCAGCGTGTGGGTGGCCCCCAGGAGGTGGCGCATGCTCCGGTGGGTGGCCCCCAGGAGGTGGCGCATGCTCCGGTGGGTGGCTTCCCATCCCAAAGCACATGAGCTGCACACCTTGGGCTCCATCCGCCTTTCTAATGCTTTACTGATGGCTGCTGCCATGGAGTTTCTGCCCTTGAGGAGAAGCGGTGACCTAGTGGCCTGAGGGTGCGGATGGGGCAGGGGAGCGGGACTGAGAAGGAAGGGCCTCTGCTTTGTCTTTTAAGTCCTCACCTCAGCGGCATTTCCATTATACCCGCCTGATCGTTAAAGAGCAAACTGTTCACACCGGTATGCTTCAAATGCTGTCCACTGTAAAGTCGGGAAGTGTTGCAAAGTAGGAGAGTAGTGAGCGCTGGCACAGAGAGAGAGACAGAGAGACACAGAGAGAGAGAGAGATTAAATCGGTCCTCTGCCGGCCTTGATCTTGTGTTTCTGAGACTCAAGCTTTGCAAGGGTACACTGTGGGAGAGAAGATTCAGCCTTCCTTGTACAAACAGCGGCTGGAAAGGTAGACACTCTTGACGGCGTGTCCCCCTGAGCACCACCGCTGTGCTGTGTGCCTCAGCCTCACTTGCTCTGTATCTCAAGGATAACAACAGTTTGCAACTTTTTTTTGCTTGTCGCAGAAAGGTGGTGAAGCTCTCAGCGCAGGAGATTCCGCACACGGAAAGCTCCACTTACCAGTGAAGAACACGCTCCTGCAAGCTCCCCGCCCTCAGGAATGATCCCTGGGGCCTTACTTCCTATTCCAGGGGCTGGCAGGCCGCCCAGGCGGGGCACAGTGGTCAGGTGCACTTCCTGGGAGCGCAGGTGCCACCCCAGCTCCAAGCAGGTCCTCCCAGCCCAAAGCTATGGTGGAGAGGGCAGGCCTAGGGGAGCCTGCGCCCCGAGGCCGCTAGGCGGCGCTGTGCGCTGTCCGCCCCGCCTGGGTCACCTGGCCGGACCCCTGCACCTCTGTCCCGTGGGCACCGCGGCCACCACGGCCGCCAATCCCTGTTGCAGCTGCCGAATGTACCATGCAGTGCCTGGGCGCCGAGTACCTGGTAAGAGCGACAGCCTGGGCCCTGAGGGAAGCGCCCACTGTGGGCACCTGCACAGGCGGGACGCTTCTGCCGTCTCTGTCGCAGCCACCTTCCCCTTTAAGGACACCTGGCCTGGCCGGGAGGACCAGTTGGGCCAAGGCAAGGAAGGCTCAGGCAACTGGGGAGGGGGGACAGCGGGGCTCTTACGGGACCTCACATTCACCCTACAGGGAGCAGGCCTTCCCAGGAGGAAGCATCAGGTGACAACGTTGAGTTGCTTTTAAACAACCTTTGGATAGGTTGGTTCGGTAAACTTCACCTGACAGTTTCTCTCGCTTTTCTCAACTGTCTTCCCCCCCCCCCTTCTGAAAGGTATCCGCAGAGAAAACACCAAGGCAGAGAGAGTGGAGACCCCAGATTTATAGAAAATGCACAGATACGGCGTGGCTAGTCCTGTTCTTTCTCTTTTGGACTGGTTTGGTAAGTACGGCGGCTTGGCAGGCTTAGTTAAGTCCCCGGTGTGCGTGTGCGCGTCCAGACGCAAGTTGTGTCTTAAATGTCAGTCGTTTAACGTGTATGCTTCAAGGACGACTTCTGCGATTGGCTCAGAATGACCCCGAGTTAGGAAATTCTTACTCTGGGATTTCACAGTCTCCTAAACTCTCTGAGGAGACTGTCTTCTTGCCTTAGACCAAGATTTATTGGGTAATTCCACAGAGAAGCAACAGTTTGCAGTGGTGTCTTTCCTCAGGAAGGTGGCTGTGAGTGTTTTGCTATCCAAGCTCTCAGAGTGGAAGTCCTCTGACAACCGCTGTACCCCTCCTTCAAGTAATCATCAACCTCTGCTGTTTTCTAACAAAGGAAAAATCAAGAAAGGCCTAGAAGGTTTTTTTAAACTATATAGAAACATACATGTGTGTGCATGTTTCATCTACAGTGCTCAGCAAACCGTCTCTTTACGTGCTTTCACGTATACATCACTGCCCGCAGACCCCATCAGACCCTGCTGTGTCAATCCCAGCAGTCGAATCTTGACACTCTCGTTCTTAGAGGTTCAGTCACCTCTTTAAGCCAGGTTGGCGCATGCTGTGTGCTGTGCGGTAAATGATTAACTCACAGTATCCTACAATATCTACCTAATAGTAATTACCTTTGTTGAAAAGACTTTAGTTTGAGTTAACCCTAAAATACCACATTTGTTCTTCCCGAGTAAAGAATGCATTTATTCCATTTTTAACTTTCCAAATGCTTTTGCATAGACTCGGTTAGAGCCGCAATGGAAGGCTAGGCCTGAATGTGTTGCTGCTCCTCCTCCTCCTCCTCCTCCTCCTCCTCCTCCTCCTCCTCCTCCTCCTTCTCCTCCTCCTCCTCATACTGAGGCCCTTCCAACTCTCCTTAAGAAGCTCAAAGAAGGCTGTGTACCTACCAAGCCTTATTACCTTCCCTATCAACGGTTGCTGTTTTTCTCCAATTCTGCCGTTATGTAAATGTAGGGAGCAGCTGTCCTCCTGGATCTGCAGCTTTGACCTTGGGCCGTTAATGTTCTTTAATGATCCTCCCTTGCCCCTCCACCACTCAGACTCAGGCCAGCAGCTGCTTGGGGAGAGAGGATCACTGATGGCCCCTTCACAGGCTGAAGAATTATGTGCCGGCTGAGACATTGCACTCCCTGAGCTGGGAACTGCAGAGAAAGTACGCTTTGTTCGTAGGATAAATCTAAAGGTTTCCATATGCCCAGATTCTCTTTACTGTGTTTAGTCATAAGAGTTCTTTCTTAGCTGGCTGGCATCTTTCACCTTCTCCAAAATTTTTAGCTATAAACACCTATTTAAATCAGGACAAGGTATGTGTGTATGTGTGTGTGTGTGTGTGTCCACTGTTTCACTTCTGGGTCTTGTGATGGGTATACCAATTAACCAAGTGTAGGACTGGATTATGATTGATGGCACTGCCCTTAACTGGACAAAGAGGGAGAATGCCAGACTTGCCAGCAGGGCTGGTCCCCTGCAAATACAAAAAGCAGCAGCCTGTGCTCGTGTTTATATGAAATACACAAGCAGGAAGCAAGCCTGCAGCTCTGAACAACCCCTGCCTCTACTTATCCTCCAGTGTCCCGTCCCACCTCACCCTTTCCCGGCTGTCTTTCAACACTTCCCAGACACAGCTTAGAGTGACAGCATTTTAAGCCACACCACACTAACACACATTTCCCACAATGCTCACATCAGAGTCTGGACTCCTAGGCCAGGAGTTTGCCAGCCTTAGCTTAATGGAAGAAAAGCAGGCCCCGGGAATTAGTGAAGGAAAGTGTGTTCATTTACAGCTTTGGGCAGAACTGGAGGGCGAAAAATTGTTCGTTTTCTCTCCACCATTTCTGTTGGAGTCTTACAAGTCAGGAAAACAAAGCCGGGACATGCGCCTATGTGGACTGAGCTACGTGATAGTTGTCAGTGTGGCGTGAGGGCTCTTCCTGGGAGACTCCTCCTGGAGTGGGAGGGAGTACCTGGGATCTCCTAGAAACAGTTTAATTCTTTGAGGTCTATTTTTCAAGTGTCCTGTTACACTGCTCACCTCCTCTCATGTGGAGTTAAAATTGCAGTGAGGCTTCACAGGTGTGGTGGGAACACGACCCAAGTCCTTACCCTCTCCCCCAACTTTGCAAAGGAGATCTCACATATGAGGTAATGGTACATAGAAACTATCATGCTGTTATTAGATAAATCCCTGGGGAGAGAGGCACGAACACCAGTCCAGGAGACACCAGGACTAACATTCCGGGCTACAAGGACAGGAGACATGCCAATGTTGGGTCAACTTACCACGCAGGCCATGATACATTGAGCAGCACGCAGAATCACACTTCCACGCACTGTCTTGAAGTGAAGGAAGAGTGATCCTCTCTCTTAGCAAAGGTGACCTGGACACCCTAAAAATCTCATGAATGAAATTGAGGACGAACTTGAAGAGTGGGCAGGGGATGAGGGTCTCCTCTGTCATATGGTCTCCAATTGATAAGTCCTATTCCTCTGGGGGCTGCAAAGTTTGGTGTCTTCCCCTGAGCCTCTTTGTCTAACCATGGCTGAGGGCAGAGCCATCAATAATAATAAACCTGGGGGCTGGATTTAGAGGGTAGACACTAGGTCTTGTTTATCTTTGTTTCCTCCTTTAACAGTCTCTGGCACGCACTGAGCCCTTGAAGAATATTTACTACTCTTATTTTCTTGTGGTAGGGTTTCATGTAGCGCAGGCTGACCTTGAAGTCATTATGTCACCAAGGCTAGTCTTTAACTCCTCCTGATCCTTCTTCCTTGGCCTCCCGAGAACTGGGAGTGTGCACTACCTGTTGAGCTTATTATTTTTATTTCAAAGTTGAATGCAGAGCCTCTGAACACATTGACTTTAAGGCAGTATATCTTTGGAACATTGGGGCCATACCTTATGTTAGTGGATAGTATCACACAGACTCTGTCCCCGAATCAGCTTGCCAGTACCATATACTGTTAGGTGGTGTTCTGTGTGTAATAGACTGGGAAGCTTGCCACCACACTAAGTTTGTGTTATGAGAAGAAGTCTTGGTGTGTGCAGGTGTGTATGAATGTTGCAGTTGTTTGAAACTGAAATTTCAAATATTGCACATTCCCTATAAAGGTGGTTTTACGAAATAACAATAATAAGAAAATAACAACAAAAAAAAAAAAAACCCACCTGTTGATTGCAAGATGCCCTTGTCAAACAGAATCCTGAAATTCTTTTTCCTCCTAAGTTCTGATTTGTGAAGTTGAGCCAAGCAACACAAATGCTCCTTCAGACTGGGAGCAGTGTGTTGATCTGTATCAACTCTGTAGCCTTGAGAGGCTTCCCCAAAATTAAGACGAAAAGAACATTTTTAAAAGGAAAGGCAGACCAGGGCATGGTGGCCTGTGCCTGTAATTCCAGGACTAGGGGAGGCAGAGGCAGGCGGATCTCTGAATTGGAGGCCAGGCTGGTCTACAAAGTGAGTCCAGGACAGCCAAGGCTACACAGAGAAACCCTGTCTTGAAAAATCAAAAAGAAGAAGAAGAAGGAAAGAGAGAAAGACAGAGAAAGAAAGAAAGAAAGAAAGAAAGAAAGAAAGAAAGAAAGAAAGAAAGAAAGAA